CTCATTATTGGGGAAGGATTCATTGTATGCTGTTCCAGTTTGACTGCTAGGAGAGTAAACCTATTCGTATGGTTCCTATTCAACTGTCTACAGCATTCATATGCTTGGGAGAATTTATTTGTTTCTCCGGTTCGGTGATTGTGGTGTCTGCCAGAGTGCTTGGAGTCCTCAGGAAGCGCTAGGAGCATCCTTCAACAGAGGTACCCAGTCGGGGTGCCAGGTGATCCGTTACACCCCGCTTCACACAGATAGGTTGTCGGAAATGGCAATAGGGATTTAAGTGCTGTGGTGGCAATCTCAGGGTATTCCACCATGACTTTAATCCAGAACACCGGCAGAGTTGTTGTCTCGAACATAGTTTTAAGGCCACCGTCATTTGCAATCTCCAGCAGTTGTTCTTCTTCTTGCATAGACATTCTAGATTCGCCTGATTTGTTGGCAAATGGGTCGCAGATCCATTCCTTACCAGTTCGTGGGTCTTTTGTGGTTGTGAAGTAGCGCTCAAACTCTTTTAAAAGCAAAGACAGGTGATCATGCACAAACTGGCAGAGTGAATGTTCAAGCTCAGTCTCGCCTAAAATCCCCACTAATGTCTGAAACATGTCCAAAATGCCTCTGTTCACGTGCCGTCCCCTCAACTCCAGTTTGGCTTTAAATGCAGCTACTTTGTCTGACAACTTGAAAACAGTTGTCATTTTCCCCTGAAGGCCCAGATTGAGTTCGGCCAATGGCGTGGGGTTTGCCTTACGGCCAATCAGGAAGCGGGAGGACCCAGGAGGAGGATCAGTGTAACAATAGGGAATTTTCATTCGCTATTGTCACACAATGGGCAGGCTCGGGAGGGCGCAATGCTCTGCGCCTCGGCCGCCACAGTGAAATTAAAGTTCCTCGGGCGGCCCGGTACCGTTTGATCCACGTACCGGTCCGTGGCCCGGGGGTTGGGGAACACTGTTTTAGGGCACTTTCTGCCTGGGAAACAAACATCAATTCTTCTGGCCGCTGCTACAGCAGCGGCTGCAACAATACCTAATTTTTCAGGCATGTGTACATGCCTAATTTTTCGGGCCTCTGGTGCTGCACTGTGGTTTCAAAAACCAAATCAAAAAAAGGCACATAGGGATTAAACAGATAAGAATAATACTACTTAACACAACTTTTAATAACGCAGAGAGAGGCAACACAGAGAGAGGAGTCTGAAGAAGAGGAGTCAGAGGAGGAAGGTGGCTTTGAGGAGGTGGAAGACCAAACACAGCAGGCGTCCCAGGGGGCTTGTTGTCACCTTTCGGGGACCCTTGGTGTTGTACGTGGCTGGGTGGTGGAAGAAACCTTCAATGACATCAGTGAGGACAAGGAACGGGACATGGCTAGCTTGGTATCCAACCTTGTGCAAATGGGGAGTTTGCGGTTGTGCAAATGGACTGTTTGTGGTTGTTTGCGGTGCGTTAAACGGGGAGTTTGGTCTGTCACTGTGAAGCGGGCGTAACCCTTACACTACCTGATCGATACAACATCATACAGTAGGTCCCCCCTTATCCTTATTTACTGAATATTCCCCTGTATAACAATGTTTGGCATTTAGTGAATATTCCCTATTCTGCTCTGTGTCAGTGTGTATCAGGGGCTCTGAGGACAGGTGTCAATCCATATCTGCCAAGTGACCCTATGTAGGAGGAACATTCCCTATTCTGCTCTGTGTCAGTGTGTATCAGGGGCTCTGAGGACAGGTGTCAATCCATATCTGCCAAGTGACCCTATGTAGGGGGAACAGTCTCTATTCTGCTCTGTGTCAGTGTGTATCATGGTCTCTGAGGACAGGTGTCAATCCATATCTGCCAAGTGACCCTATGTAGGGAACAGTCTCTATTCTGCTCTGTGTCAGTGTGTATCATGGTCTCTGAGGACAGGTGTCAATCCATATCTGCCAAGTGACCCTATGTAGGGGAACAGTCTCTATTCTGCTCTGTGTCAGTGTGTATCATGATCTCGGAGGACAGGTGTCAATCCATATCTGCCATGTGACCCTATGTAGGAGAACAGTCTCTATTCTGCTCTGTGTCAGTGTGTATCATGGTCTCTGAGGACAGATGTAACGGATTATCTGGCACCCCGACTGGGTACCTCCGTTAAAGGATGCTACTAGCACTTCCTGATTACTCCAAGCACTGCAGCAGACACCAAAACCACCGAACCGTAGGAGCATGTGAACGCTCTCAAGCATATGAATGCTATAAACAGCTGAATAGGCAAAAACCATATAGATGGGTTTAGACTCCTAGCAGTCAAACTGGAACAGCATACAATAAATCCTTCCCCAATAATGAGACGACACTTCGCTTTGAGGGTTAAGCAGGAACTCACTGTACTGGCACATACAGCCTCTTTTATTCCCAATCCACAAATTTAGTACTGCCCACAGGGTTTTACAGTACAACCAATCAATCTGTACAATACACCCAGACACTCCCACACAAAATCCTCCCCTCTGCCTGTAATACAATTACCTTACACAATGGGTAATCTAATTATCACAGACAGAGAAATACAGTTTCATAAAACACATCACAGGGACCCCAAAACATACAATAACCCCATAAAAAAGTATATCCTTGGAACCGGGGGATCTGGGTGAACCACATATCCAAAATTCACCCAGATCCATTCAGTACTTTGGAAGATACAGTTTAATGCAGATTCTGCAGAACATATACAGGCTAAATGAAAAAACAATCACTGTATAATGTGTCCCCTGCTGTATAGTCCAAAACCACTGCACGATGTCTCTGTGCACCAAATACTGGCGAGATGGCACCGTGTTGAAAAGTCCAAACAGTGTCTGTGAGTTAAAATGGCCGCCATCCATTGTTATCACCATGTGCTTCTGATACAGGAAATGGTGGCCACCCAGTAACTCCACAGTATGTCCCCAGATGGTTTTTAAAGGGCCAGCAGCAGCACAACTCAAATCCATTATGCCCAAATCATGTCTTTAAAGGGCAATACATTCCAGGGGCCATAGTCACATGGCAGGAGGCTGGCAATCAGTCTTCTCCAATGCCCAGTGGCGAGGTCGGTTAGGTATCAATCCATATCTGCCAAGTGACCCTATGTAGGGGGAACAGTCCCTATTCTGCTCTGTGTCAGTGTGTATCAGGGATCCTTAGGACAGGTGTCAATCCATATCTGCCAAGTGACCCTATGTAGGAGAGCAGTCTCTATTCTGCTCTGTGTCAGTGTGTATCATGGTCTCTGAGGACAGGTGTCAATCCATATCTGCCAAGTGACCCTATGTAGGAGGAACAGTCTCTATTCTGCACTGTGTCAGTGTGTATCAGGGGCTCTGAGGACAGGTGTCAATCCATATCTGCCAAGTGACCCTATGTAGAGGGAACAGTTTCTATTCTGCTCTGTGTCAGTGTGTATCATGGTCTCTGAGGACAGGTGTCAATCCATATCTGCCAAGTGACCCTATGTAGGAGAACAGTCTCTATTCTGCTCTGTGTCATGGTCTCTGAGGACAGGTGTCAATCCATACCTGCCAAGTGACCTTATGTAGGGGGAACAGTCCCTATTCTGCTCTGTGTCAATATGTCATATGTCAGGTATCAATCCATATCCATTGTGATTTAGGAATGTTAGGTGATTTCTGCCCCTTATGGATTAAAACCAGACTCTGCATCAACTGTGTAATTTTCCATGGGAGTTTTGCCATGGATCCCCCTCCGGCATGCCACAGTCCAGGTGTTATTCCCCTTGAAACAACTTTTCCATCACTATTGTGGCCAGAAAGAGTCCCTGTGTGTTTTAAAATTCGCCTGCCCATTGAAGTCTATGGCGGTTCGTGTTCGCGAAATCACTAGTGGATTCCCGTTCAGGAGTTTGGAGCCGTTCATGGATCCCGGTCAGGAGATTACCGCTTCCCCTGAGCTTGGTTCGTACACTGCAGTTTATGCGAACGGAGATTATTGGTATTGCAGAAGGGGAAGGCTAACTAAACGGCGGTTTCGTTTAAAGACACCAGGGGTGTCTTAAAACCATCTGTAATTCCAGTCTCCCATTTGGTCCCCTAGGGGAGTGTCCACCAAGTGGGAGACCTGCATAAATACAGGCGGGTAGCCCACAGTAAAGCCAGATCCTGTTTGACCCTCAATGCGGAGCTTCTGTCTCGTTATTGGGGGGATTTCTTCTTTGCGTTTAGAGACTGCTGGATGGAACCGAAAGCCGCTTGGTGGATATCGTTGTTCGGCGGCTAGCAGCAGTTCGTGGATTTCCGTTCGGGAGTTTGGAGCCTTTCACGGATCCCGTTCGGGAGATTACCGCTTCCCCTGGTTATGGTTCGTGGATTATAATTAATGTGAATGGTTTACGGAATTGTGAAAGGGGAAGGTGAACTAAACGGCGGTTTCCTTTAAAGACACTAGGGGTGTCTTAACTGAAACATTGAAGATGTGAATAGAGTGGGACAGGGTATTTTTTTTGGGGGGGAACACTGGGACTTTCATAGAAAGATAGGGGCACAGGAGAGATTATAGAATTATATAGCGGTACCAGGGTTAACAGAGGAAACAATATTTTAAAATCACCAAAGACGTGCAGTAGTGGACAATAAATGACTGTCTAGAATTATCTCAGGATTTGTTAGAATATTCCGTTTTATACAGCACAAGGCAGAATCAAGCAAAGTAGAACTTTGGAAGAAGGTTTGTACAGAATTACCAGATAGATATGGCCAGGACAAGGACTGTCAGTGACAAGAGTCCATTCAGGAGCATATTAAACATATCAGCTACAACGATCAGAACCAGAGATACACGTGTCAACTCTGTATAGGGACCTCTCTGGCCAAGATACAGCCAATACTAACAGATATATGAAAGATATATTTCTATCTAGGAATTATTCCAGTGTCAATTTTACACATTGTATGGATAGAATTTCTCTTTTCAGTCCACCTATTTAATGTATCCTTTCCTTGTGTCCTAATCCTGTGTTTGTTCCCCTATAGAGCCGGTTCAATGCCCCTCGGGTTGGATTGTTATTTCCTATAAATGCTATTTCTTTTCCAAAGAGAAAAAAACTAAAAATGAAAGTGATCGATTCTGTGTGAATCATGGAGCAAAACTAGCGACTGTCAAAGGAAATGATCACCTGTTACGGGTATAATTAATTGTTATTTTACCAAATAAAATGTTTTGTTAGTAATAGAGTTGACCGAACCAGAACTGTTAAGTTTTGACCCCGAACCCGGACATTTCAGTAACCGTTCGTGTTCGAGTTCGGTGTTCGGCGATTTAATGGTGCGTTTTGAAAAGGGGGGAGGACCTATTGTCCTCCCCCACGGCCCCCACCCCTGAGCAGCGGGTGGGGGCCCTAAGTACCAATAAGGGGGGGACCTATTGTCCTCCCCCTGGCCCCAACCCCTGAGCAGCGGGGTTGTCTTCCCCCCTGGCCACCACCCCTGAGAGGTGGGTGGGGGCCCTAAATTAGAATAAGAGGGGGACCTAATGTCCTCCCCCCTGTCCCCCACCCCTGAGTGGTGGGTGGGGGCCCTAAATAAAAATTGGGGGGTGGATTTCAAGCCAACCAATCAGAGTGCTGTGACAGGTAGCACTCTAATTTAGAGCCCCCACCCACGGCTCAGGGGTGGGGGGTCAGGGGGAGGACATTAGGTCCCCCCCATTGGTATTTAGGGCCCCCACCCACCGCTCAGGGATGGGGGCCAGGGGGGAGGACATTAGGTCCCCATCCCAATTTTTATTTAGGTCCCCCACCCACCGCTCAAGGGTGGGGACCGGGTGGGGGACAATAGGTCCCCCCCCCTTATTTTACTTTAGGGCCCCACCTGCCATTTTTTTTTTTTTTTACGGTGAGCAGCCATAGGCATATACCTACGGTATAGCGAGTAGGGACATGATTTACTAATACTAAGTAATCTTTACATAGTATTAGTAAATTTGGCTGAAAGAACAATTTAGGTATTTCAGCCTTTTAGTAGATAGTTCCCTAATACCGTGGGAATTAGGGAGTTATCTACTTATTGATGCTGTCATTACACTGACTGGCCAAGTAACTTACATTTTATATGAATGTATGTTACTTGATTGTTGTAAGTGTTGCAAATGCTTACAGCTGAATCCTGGCTATGTTTGTATACTTTTTATTTAAAATTGTATACAATGTAACATTCTTCTTCTTTCACTGGGTAAGTATATTAGTACTTGGGTAATACATTTTACTTCCCTTTTGCAGCCCTCTAGCCCTTTCAGGACTTTTTTAGAACCCTTTTAGTGCCCAAAAGTTCGGGTCCCCATTGATTTCAATGGTATTTGGGTTCAGGGTCAAGTCCCAGTCCCGAACTCGAACTTTTTGCGGAAGTTTGGCCGAACCTGGCGAACCCGAACATCCAGGTGTCCGCTCATCTCTAGTTAGTAATAATGTGTGTATTAAATCTCTTAATCTTTAGTGAATAGATACTTTGTAATCCCATAGCGGCAGGAAGTGAGGGTCACTGGATTGGAATATTTATTTATTTATTTATTTTTTTTGTAAATGTTTTCAAGAGTTATCAAAAAGTTTCAAAAACGAGAACTGAATAGCATTATTTATCTAAATCATAGCAAAAACCAACATCAACATAGAGTGATAAGGGGAGAGATTAGCCTAATAATACAACAAACAACCTACATTACAAATGACAGGGGGCTTTAAAAATACTAATATACTAAAATGTAGAAAAAATAATGTTTTTACAATTGTTTTCCAGAACAGTTCTTATTATAAGGGGTCAATGAATCAATTCTATTAAAGTATACCACGGTAGAAAATCAGGAATGAAAATAAAAGTTGATACTTTAAAAAGAGAGTTCAGAGAAGGGCTACTAAACTGGTTCATGAATTGCAGGATAAAACTTACCAGGAAAGGTTAAAGGATCTTAACATGTATAGCTTGGAGGAAAGACGAGACAGGGGGATAGGATAGAAACATTTAAATATATGAAGGGAATCAACACAGTAAAGGAGGAGACTATATTTAAAAGAAGAAAAACTACCACAACAAGAGGACATAGTCTTAAATTAGAGGGACAAAGGTTTACTGAGAGGGTAGTGGATGCATGGAATAGCCTTCCAGCTGAAGTGGTAGAGGTTAACACAGTAAAGGAGTTTAAGCATGCGTGGGATAGGCATAAGGCTATCCTAACTATAAGATAAGGCCAGGGACTAATGAAAGTATTTAGAAAATTGGGCAGACTAGATGGGCCGAATGGTTCTTATCTGCCATCAGATTCTATGTTTCTAAGTTAGTAATTGGCAGTTTTAGAAGGATCCTGTAGTGAAGCGTGCTGTAGTGGTTAAGGTGCCAGGAGTCAACTTGTCCTATCTCACTATAAGCTGTCAGTCACTTGTGTGTTGCAGTAATCTGCTAATATAGAGCAGTATTTTGATTGACAAGTCCCGTGAGAGCTTCACATTCTGTTATTATTCTGGTCGGAGTTACAGCACCGAGGTAAGTACCATTGTTTATTTATTTCCATATTCATTACTTTAATGAGTAAATATCTGTTTTTAGAGCTCTTTCCTTTATCATTTTCTTCCAAAATTTAATTTTTTTTTTTAGATAACAATGTTTTTTTGTTTGTTTCTTTTTCAGTCATTTATTTCAAGAACACCTTCAGTATATTGGGTCGGATTGACTTTGAAACATGATGAATATTCTAAATCCAAGATGTGGGTTTGGTCTGATGGTACACTTGAGTATGTTTCTAATTAATTTATTTGCACAATATCTTCACATTAGCAGTAGCAAACCATGGCTCATACTCACCCAAAAACTGAGAAAAACAAGATTTGATGTTTCATGATGAAGTTTCTGATCTGATATGGCTCTTCTGGATTTTGAATTTTAAAGAGACGTAGAAACATAGAATGTGATGGCAGATAAGAACCATTCGGCCCATCTAGTCTGCCCAATTTTCTAAATACTTTAATTAGTCCCTTGTCTTATCTTATAGTTAGGATAGCCTTATGCCTATCCCACGCATGCTTAAACTCCTTTACTGTGTTAACCTCTACCACTTCAGCTGGAAGGCTATTCCATGCATCCACTACCCTCTCAGTAAAGTAATACTTCCTGATATTATTTTTAAACCTTTGTCCCTCTAAAACATACACAGTTTCACAAATACATGAGGGAAATACAGGCAGTCACATAAACACGGAAGGGCAACGGTCCCGCCACAACACACACTACATCCCTTACACAAACATCCACACATCACATCCAGTATACACACACACTACATCCATACACACACACCCTCTCCGTTGCTTATGCACTCAATCCTTGTGCTTGGACACAGGAGCAGGCACAATTCTTGAGTTACGTAAGGGGCCCCAAACTTTCTGATGGCAGCCCTGCACATACAATACATATTACACCAATCTTATAACTGCCAGGAAAAGTAAGGCTTAACCTTTATTAAAGCACCATGATTCTCCATAAACACATACATCATGGAGGCATTCATGGAGCCAACATAGCGACCAGTGGCGTACATACCAGGGTCGCAGGGGTCGCAGCTGCGACCGGGCCCGGCCCACCAGGGGGCCCGGTCGCCCCTGCAACCCGGTATGTACCCACAGGGCCAGCCTCTTCCCCTGGGGGCCCAGGAGGCGGCCACCTCAGGGCCCCCCCGAGGCTGGCCCTGCTGACCCCGGCGGGCTGTCTGTCTGGGTGGCCGGCACGCAAGGGAGCACTCTCTTCTGAGTGCTTCCTCTTCAGCTCCCTCGCGCACCGCACTGATACCGGAGCTGGAAGATGACGTCCTCTTCCGGCGCCGGCATCCCTATGCGGCGCAAGAGGAAGCTGAAGAGGAAGTACTCAGGGGAGAGTGCTCCCTCGCGCGCCGGCCACCCAGACAGACAGCCAGCCAGCCAGCCGAGCAGTACCACTGGACCCCAAGTGTTTTTGTGTTAGTGTGTGTGTGTGTGTGTGTGTGTTAGTGTGTGTTAAGACACCCCTTGTGTCTTTAAACGAAACCGCCGTTTAGTCCGCCTTCCCCTGCTGCAATACAAATAATCCCCATTCGCATAAACTGCAGTGTACGAACCAAACTCGGGGGAAGCGGCAATCTCCCGACCGGGATCAGTGAAAGGCTCCAACCTCCCGAACGGAACTCCACGAACAGCTGCTAGCCGCCGAACAATAATATCCACCAAGCGGCTTTCGGTTCCATCCAGCAGTCTCTAAACGCAAAGATGAAATCCCCCCAATAACAAGACAGAAGCTCCGCATTGAGGGTCAAACAGGATCTGGCTTTACTGTGGGCTACCTGCCCGTATTTATGCAGGTTTCCCACTTGGTGGACACTCCCCTAGGGGAACAAATGAGAGACTTAAATGACAGATATGGGGACATTCCAGACACACAGTCACAGTTTTTACCCACAATGCACTATGGTTTCCTCCCCTCTGCCCTGGAGATAATTACCAAGTAACTCAATTATCTCCAGGACAAAGCCAGTCGCCATTTTAAATATAAAATCAGAAAAGACATAAAAATACATAATTTTACAATAACCGAACATTCTGCATTCGTGTCACATATCCCCAGATAGCCTGGATCTGAGTGCATATTATTAGCGAATAGCGCTCAGATCCCACACAGATAGTTCAATCGCCATGGAGTCAAAGTTCTTACAGTCTTTCGTGATACGAATGACTCCATGGGAAGGCTATCTGGGTTAAATCCTTTCGTATGCTTCAAACCTCCCAAACGGCCGGTATTCGTATGCTTTTGTGGAGGCAGCCAGGCGTTCCGTTGTTTCAGCGGTGTTCGGCAGAAAACCGTCCGTCCGTCCATTTTTAGTTCCATGAAATTAGAGCCGAACACCGCTGGGCTTTCGCGTGGTTTAAAATGGCCACTGCCTCGTGGTCGACATACGAACGACGACCACCCTGAATTCGTTTAATTGAGAAGTGTCTGCGGTTAACCACAACGTTCTAATTGGGATTAATAGGTTAACCAGCAGCACACTTCTCTCCTTGGTGGCCGTCCGTTCGGCAGGTTTGTTCGGAAAAACAGTCATTCGTATGGCTGGGCTATAGAAAACAGCCATTTACACGAACAGGATAGAAACAGACGAATACACCTGCAATAACCAGACAGATGGTTCTGTCACAGTGTGTTTGTGTTAGTGTGTGTGTCAGTGAGTGTGTCTGTTATTGGGTGTGTGTCTGCTAGTGAGTGTGTTACTGTGTGTGTCTGTTACTGAGTGTGTGTTTGTCAGTGAAAGTGTGTGTTTTGTAAGTGAGTGTGTATGTCTGTCTGTCGCTGAGTGTGTCTCTGTCAGTAAATGTGTGTGTCTGTTAGCTAGTGTGTATGCGTCTGTTCGTGAGAGTGTGTGTGTCTTCAGCATTTACCTTTCTCCAGCGTTGGACTCCCTTGGCACTGGGGATCCCTCCGCCTCTCAGCTCCGAATGCACATGCGCGGCAAGAGGCGAGCGCGCATTTAAACCGCCCGTAGGAAAGCATTACTCAGTGCTTTCCTATGGACGTTCAGTGTCTTCTCACTGTGATTTTCACAGTGAGAATCGCGGAAGCTCCTCTTGCAGCTGTCAATGAGACAGCCACCAGAGGCTGGATTAACCCTCAGTGAAACATAGCCGTTTCTCTGAAACTGCTATGTTTTCAACTGCACGGTTAAAACTAGAGGGACCTGGCACCCAGACCACTTCATTGAGCTGATGTGATGTGGGTGTCTGTATTGGTCCTTTAAGTGTGTGTGCATACCGCGGTCGCGGGGTCGCAGCCCTGCAACCCCTGCGACCAGGTGCCCGCCGCCATGTGTTGCGGCCCCGACCCATGCCGAGTAAGCGCGGGGGGGCCACGGATCAATTTTCGCACCGGGGCCCCATGGGTCATGTGTACGCCACTGATAGCGACACTCCCTGTACCTGTGGAGAGTTAGAAATGCATTGAAACAGTCTGTGTGTCGTGAGACAACTTCATCAATGACTGACAGAAAAGTCAGGTAGATTGATAGACACTCAGAGACAGGTTGTTAGTCTATATTAATCAGCCTGCACCCGGTGTTTCTCTAGCTAATGAAACAAAGAGAATAATCTGTGGCATTAACTCTGGATAGGTTAATCTGATGGCTGTTTTTATAAAAAAGGTGACACGATTTCATTTTCTGTATTTTCAGGAATTCCGAGGATTTCAGTTCCTCTGATCAATGCACTACAGCAAATCCCAGTATCGGATTCAGCCATTGTGAACATGAGCTTCACTGGATCTGTGAAAATATGATTAAAATGTCTAATTTAAAGGAAAAAATAAGGAATTGTTAAAGCAAAACAAAGACAAATATAAAATTTTCATGTTATTCAATAAATCAATAAATAAATTGTATGGTCTACATTCAGGTATATGGTTGCCAGTTATCACAACGAATTGCTCAGTTAATAAACCATTAATTGTTCCTTATTTTGATACATTGGCAGGGTTATTCACTAAAGTCCGACTGCCAAATACAGACTTTGTTCAACTATTTAATAGCATCTGTTTTTTGTCCCAATTTAGGCCCAGAACAGGCCTGGATTTCAGTCGGCCCAAACGCGGATGGATGGTTAAACTCCAGAGTAAATGCTGCAAATTTGGTGGTTGGCCAGCGCTCCCTAGCTAGTTGCAATAGTTAAATTAAATAAATAAAACCCCTATGGGGATTAATTAGGTGCCATATCACTATAACAGAGCCTTAAAACCTTCCTGTGCCGTCATCTGTCATGCGGAAATCGGGGGAATATCTACTAAACTTTTAGAATTAGCAATTACTGCCCAGCTGTTAGACCCCATCACGATTGTGCCTGTAAAATAAGGGGGACATAGTCACCTCCCCATACCCATACACAACATTAAAATAAATAATGGGGTGTTGAAGAGATCACTATTGCACCCCCCTCAACGACTCGTGGCCATTCATGCGGGCTATAAGAACAAAAGTGGGGGAACAAAATGCCTCACTGCCCCCCACTCATTAACAGCAGGTGATGGACTTAAGTATAATATTCAGGGGGGAAGACCGAGTGTCCCCCTAAGGCCCCACACATGGGTGGCCCCAATACTTTATATCCTCTGTAGCGGACCGCAGGTAACCCGACCAATTACCTAGGCTAATCTCTTCCTTCAGCCGCTCAGGAACCATTTAGAATTGCAAGGAACCCATTTCCCCCAGTAACTGGATGATACACAGTCCTGGAGGTACAACACAATGTTATTGAGCCACGCACGGCTTTTATGCATAGCCCCATGCAAGGGGTCTTCAACACATACAAACAGGGGTTGTATCCCAGGATCCTCTTTACCTGGGGGGGGGTCGCTATTCCTTTGTCTTCCAAATATGGAAAGCCTGCCACTCAGGTCTTCATCCCTTGAGCCTCTGTGCCTGGGAGCCAAGGCACGGGAAAAGAGACCGTCCCTTTGTCTCACAGGCACAGAAAAGCCCGCCAAACTAACCACTGCCCAAAAAGTGTCCCCACCGACCTCACAATGACACATGCTCTGACCATTCGCAAGGTTCCTATGTGGAAACCTGCAAGGGAAGCATCTTCTTTCGGGGTACAAATGCTCGGTCTGGTTTGCGTTCATCTATACGAAATGGTGGGCATTCGGGGGAGCACTCATTAATTGCTTCCCTTGCGGTTTCATACTTATGTGGCAAGTGCGAACGTTCTAATTAATTGGTGGGAACATTTTAATGGGGCCACTGGGAGGCCCTGTTTAGGAGACAAATAGATTCCTGTGCTTAAACCTGTAAGGGAAGCGTCTCCTTTCAGGGTACGAATGCTCCCTATCTATATGAAATGGCAACCACCCAGGGGAGCATTCATTAATTGCTTTCCTTGCAGTTTGACACTTATGTTGCAGTGCGAACGTTGCGGTTTGACACTTATATTGCAGTGCGAACGTTGCGGTTTGACTCGTTGCAAGTGCGAATGTTCTAATTAACTGGTGGGAAGGTTCTACTGCCACTGGGGAGGTCCCTGTTCGGGAAGCGAATAGATTCCATTTGTATGCGGCTCCCGAATGAGAAATAAAGTATAGCACAAGAAAACCAAAGGGGAAACACACAAGGCTAGGGCAAAAAGGATGTACAGCTAAGCAGTGGTTCTGCCACAACCCCCATCCCCCCCAAAAAAGTGAGGAGGAGCAATTAAACGAATAGCTGTATATATTTTTTCTTCAGCCCAAAAAGTCCATATTAAGCTCCTTAAAGGACCACTCTAGACACCCAGACCACTTCAGCTTAATGAAGTGGTCTGGGTGCCAGGTCCAGCTAGGATTAACCCATTTTTTTTATAAACATAGCAGTTTCAGAGAAACTGTTATGTTTGTAAATGGGTTAATCCTTCCTCCAATTCCTCTAGTGGCTGTCTCATTGACAGCCGCTAGAGGCGCTTGCGTGATTCTCACTGTGAAAATCACAGTGAGAAGACGCCAGCGTCCATAGGAAAGCATTGTAAAGCGGCTCTTGCCGCGCGTGCACATTCAGCCGAATGGGAGAAGAGGAGGATCGGAGGAGGAGAGCTCCCCGCCCAGGGCTGGAAAAAGGTAAGTTTTAACCCCTTTCCTCTCCCCAGAGCCGGGCGGGAGGGGGACCCTGAGGGTGGGGGCACCCTCAGGGCACTATAGTGCTTGGAAAACGTGTATGTTTTCCTGGCACTATAGTGGTCCTTTAAATTCTTATGCAACTAATGAAAGTAAAAAAATATATATACAAAATCAAAATCTGCAACACTATAATGTATCCATCTTAGCTGACTTAGTGTGGGAAAGCCTTTATAAGGATTATTTTATTGCATTACAGAAAAAGGAGGAAAATCTAAATATAAAATTTAGGAGGTGGGGTAACAGTTTTATAGATAATGATGCATGCGCACAAAACTGATGAATGCACCTATTCATACTCATTACATTTTACCAAACTAATAGAACCTGTCCACAGTCAATGTATCTCACCAAACTCATAGAATCTCTCCAGGCTCATTGCATCCCAGCAAACTCAAAGAACCTGTCCACACACATTGCATACTACCAAACTTATAGCACATGTCCACACTAAGATTAACAAATACTATCACACCACTTAATGTAACATGAGAATAATGATTTGCCCTGTTAATTCAATATTTTCCACACAAGTGACAATGTGCAGTAACATTGTCCTTAGGTTCTCTAAACTGTTTCTAACATACCTGCACAACCAGGGAGTATTCCACACTGAGCATCACCTTTGCTGTTACGGTTGCCGCAGACTAGCTGGGGGTTGGACCGCTTGGATGTCCTTGTTCCCGATCCTGGAGAGTGGTAGAAAGCATCAATTCCACATCTAGCGATATTCCTGTAAGTGTAGAGTAGTCAGGTAGTTTCTAGCAATCAGCAAATCCCTACAACACGAGTCGAGGCTGCGAGTTGAGGGTAAGAAGTCTGGTTTATTGAACGGCAAGGCATTGCCTAAATACACATTTTCAGGCCACAGGCACACCCCTCTGGACCTGATGGTACACAGGGTGACAAGTGACAACAACCAATGGTGACAAAGTGCATCTTTTCAAACCCTCCTCTCTATCCTGGAGATAATTAGTCTCAACGTTACAATAACTTAATTATCTCCAAGTACAGGCAATATTTTAGGTTTTACAAGTATATAAAAACTACATAAAATTCTATAACTTATACATCATATTCTTTAATTGGTAAAGATATTCAACATATCCCCAGACAGCTTGGATCTGAGCGCATAAGATATCCGAACAGCGCTCAGATCTCACGAATGGAGTGGAAATGCCATGGGGATAAAATTTGTCTCTAGGGCTGTTCGGCAAGCTATCATCCCACAGATCCTCTTCCATAGAGTCCTGTATGGGGTCGGTATAGCCTTTGTAGACCCAAAGTACTAAATGGTACAGCGTTCAGTGTATTATGCACAAATGGACGGGGCATGGGGCATCCCTGCGGGGTTTGTATAAAATAGTGTCGGAGAGTAGTACTAGACAGTCGATGACCAGATCCCGCTGGGCATTCGGCGGTTAACGATGGCCGCCACCATATGTTCGTGCATATGAACGATGACCACCCCGTCGACTGCCAATTAGGCAGCGGCTAACCACAAAAACACAGCTCCTGGGTGGTTAATAAGGGACACATTCAGTCAGAGATTCTTGTGACAGACCCTCCATCAATCAATGCTCCTAGTGCTTACCAAGGACCATCAGCATCGCACCAGACACCATCAGCACCGCAGTCCCCCCATCCAGCATTACAGCAACTCGTCGTCCTCTACCCACCCTGGACCTATGACAAGGCTCTAGGTTCCAGTGGGTGAACCTCTTAAAAGAGCAAAGTGATAATCCCTGGGGAGTATAGTGATATAGCAATCACCATGGTAGATGCAGCCTTTCCCCCCACACATGAGACGAGGCTCTATGCTGAGGGTAAAACAGGGATTCAACAGATCTGCAGGTTTATTGAACAGCTTGATTTTTTTATACAGTTTTCCCCCCAGGGTTACCACCTAGGTGGACCTTGTGGGGCACAGGGACGCAGGAACAACAAGCCAACAAAAACATAGTTTTACGTTCAGTCCCTCCCATACACCTGTGATATAATTAACGAAGACAATGGACTAAATTAACTCTAAGCAGAAAAAAACATTCATTTTTACAAACCCTAAAAAGTACCCCAAAATACAACACATCCACTGATGGGTGAACATATCCAAAAATCACCCTGATCGGTTCAGGGGTTCAGGAATTTCCTGGAAGTCTTATTTTGCTCAAAACAGTTCCATACACTAGACGACAAAACACTGCTGGACAATTTAAGATGGCCGCCGCCACATGTTTGAAATTGTTCCAGTTAAAAGTCCAAGGGGCATTGTGCCAAGTCCCAATATGCACAATTAGTGTTTTTAAAGGGCAATACATCCCAGGGGCCATAGTCACAGGGTAAGAGGCTGGCAAGCAGGCCTCTCCAAAAACCAGTGGTGAGGTCACTTTCGCCACATATCTCCCTCCCTAGGGGAAGACTAACCAGCATGGGCGTCCACAGGAATTTTTCCGGGGGTGGGGGCATAATTGTATTGACATCCATGCTTGGTCCCTTTTTGACAGTGTCATGAAAGGGAAGTGGCATAGTCATTATCACATAAAGCCATGGTGAATAGCGTTTTCACAACTATGGTGTCAGGAATACATGTTTGTATTCCTGACAATGTAGTGTTCCTTTAAGCAAATTAAAGGAACATTCTAGGTCATCATAACAACTTCATCTAAATGAAAATGCTATGATGCCAGGAAGCCCC